ACGGATGCTGACATTAGTTTTTAACCCTCACCATTCAACGAAACAGCTTGGCTGGTGCCAAGGGTAGTTCTGGGGATCTCTGAGTCCCCCCACACGAGAGGTCAAACAGGATGACTAAGGTAACAAAGTGTTGCTCCAGGTATACCCTATGTGGCAAAATATTTAATGAAGAATCATCAGGAGAGAATTCTGTCCAGTTATCCTATATGCTCAAATGTACTTTCTGCTAACTAACACCTTAGCATTTTAAACAATCAAATGATGAGTTTACTTGAAGTTGAGGTTTTTACCAAGTAGATGGGTTATATAGTAGAAATTATCAGACCTGTTCTATGACAAGCATAGAAGAAGCCCACCACCAACTTCTTCTGTGTCATTCTTCTACATGACTAATTTTAGCCCATGATGGTCTAAGAGTTATCTGATTTCTTCCTGGTTCTCAATTCTGCCCTTGCTACACTACCGGATCTGACCTGGTAATATCACAGTGTCTGAGAACCACCACTCTCTGCACTTAACCACTCCCAGCAAAGTCCTGAGAATCTGAGTAAGCTCCTGGACATGAACACAAACCTCCCATACAGAATAAACCCCACTGGCCATTAGATCTGGTGAGTTTTTCTCCGTCTACCCTGAACCACCTCACCCTGATGTGGTGATCACTCTCATCAGCTCCTCCCAAGTGCAGTATATCCAAATAGTACATCACCACAAGTGCAGGCATCTCCAAGGTTCAGCCCAGTGTCTGTTGAATTTCCTCCTGTTGCCCTTTGGATACCAACAGTCTTAAAAGTCTCTTGGAGGAGGTGGACCTTTTAAGTAGAGTCTACTAGAAGATTAGATCACTGGGGAACATTCGGACCCGGTCTCCTTCTCTCACTCAGCTTCCTGACCACTATGAGGTGGGCAGTTTTCCTCTATCAGTCAGTCCCTGCCACCACATACTGCCCTGGTATAGGTATGAAGTAATGGAGCAAAGCAATATTGACAGAAACTTCTGGAAGTGTGAGCCATAATATATCTTTCCTGTTTACAAGGTGATCTTCTCAAGTATTTTATTAAAGGAACAGAAAGCAAACAACTGATTTTTTCCCCTTAGTGCTTACATTCTCAAGACACTAGCATACCTATGAATGAATTCCTCCCAGTTCACATGTTTATTCTTCACCGAGGTTCTCGTTTTCCATTCTCCAATATCTGATGCATCACTGACACCTCAAAGTTACCCTAAACTTATGCTTCCCATCAAATGTTTTACATGTATTAATAAAAAAGCATATATACATATAACTATAAATAAAGGTATATAAATAAAACATAAATAAATCCACATACTAAACACAGGTTTGATTGAGGTTCAACACAGAATATAAAAGCTAAAATTTAATCATGCATTACAGCATAAAAAGTCACTAATTATGCATGGCAGTACTGTGAACATGCTGACACTACTTGTCTTAGGCTCAGCTAATGAGCTTATGTGCTCACTTACTGACAGGTGTTCTTGGAAGATACAAAGGGTTCTATTTTTAGGAGAATTTATGTAGGGTCTTGGAGAGAAGGCTCAGTGGTTAAGGGAACTTTACTGCTCTTGCAGAGGACCAAGATTCAGTTTCCAGCACCCACATGGTGGCTTACAGATGCTTTTAACTCCAGTTTCAGGAGATCCAATGCCCCCTTCTGGCCTCCATGGGCATTTCAATTACTCACACAGGTTGACACATAAACACAGTTTGTTTTGCTTTTTTGGTCTTTTTGAGACAGAGTCTCCCTGTAGCCCTAGCTAGCCTGGATTTGCTTTGGAGACCAGGCTGGCCTCAAAATCACAAAGATCCGCCTGCCTCTGCCTCCCAAGTGCTGGGATTAAAGGCATGCGCCACAACATCCAGCTATAAACACAGTTTTTGAAAACCCTTATTTAAGTATCTTATAAACTGTTAGCTGAAAACTAGTTTAAAACCCAAATCATGCCTATCTCTAATGGCCTGAGCCCTCAGAATACCACTGTAGGCCCCCAACAGTGCTGTCAACCCAGTCTGGACCACCAGAGAGATTACACCACAGTGGACTTCCCAGTCTTGTCACTCAGCAGAGATCATTGGATTCCAAAACATCCTCTGCTAAAGATGAAAGAATGTCATAGACACGGAGGTCTGCCCTGTGAGTGCTGCTGCTTAGAGTCTGCACATTTAAAATGGCAAACTACGACAGTTCTTGCTGTCAGGTAGCTCAGGATCTGCTGAGCAGCTTGCAAGCAGCTTGTGAGCCATTCGGGTGAGAAACAATGTGCACCTGTGACTGTAACTGCCTCACACAAGTTCATGTAGTTATGGAGGAGACAAAGAACAGCAAAGATCAGTCAACCATAAATACAGCAAACAAATACAGCAAACAAACCCAAAACCTAACACGTCCTTCACAGCATCATTTCAGTCACTTAGCAGGATACTATCAGGGTTGCTTATTTAGGAAGTCAAATGAAAACTTAAGCCAATCTTTTAAAAACAGGACAAAACCTAATTGCAGGGTTAAGATTCTTTTTTACTTCACATCAAGCAGCTGCTGTACCACTTATTTTTAATCACTTGGCAGGATTATTCATAGAAACACGAAGTATCCCAATAATGGAAATACATATTTGGCAAGGACACTGTAGAGGAAATCAGAGCAGTTAAGCTCCATGAACTTTCAGGCCCCGGGTAAAATGGATGGTTTTCTGTCTCAGGTTCTCAGAAGATAGCAAGATAGCGCAGAATTCTGCAGTAAGAACACAATGACAGACGACACAGTGCCCTAGCAAGAATCTATGCAGCTGCACTGGCAGACACACGATCCTCCTTTTTATTAAGCTCACAGTAAAGGAGGGTCCAGGCTCACTGCAGAGCAGCACTGAAGAACAATAAAGACTGTTCACTGGAGCTCAGCCATTGAGCTTACCTTCACAGGCTCGCGTGACTTGTCACAGCATGGAACGTGTATGCACGTCTAGCACTGTGGCCCAGATACACTTCCACTGTTGCTGCTCTAGATGCCTTTTCTAGGTGACAGTATTTAAGAGGCAGCTGATAAACTGCATTTATTGCAGTTATTCAGATTTAGGGGTCTAACAGACATTTCTGGAAAACGAAGTTTGAAAGTGCTAACACTTGAAGACTTTCTGACAGCACTATGGCAGTGGGGGATACTAACAAATGTGATTTCTGAAAACCGATTAAACATGGAAGGAAGATTAAACATAGTTAGGAAGAAATGCCTAACTAAATAAACCAATATAGTCTAAATGGCCAACGAATTGAATCATGAGCTTAATCTGACTTGAGTATAACACAGAACATTCATTCTACATATAAGACAAACCAATGAATGGACTTCAGTGTACAGGCCTCAAGTTTCAAATGCCACAAGGTAATTGACCTTTAACAAACTACCTCCTATGTGTGTTGTGGCACTAGGAACACCTCTGTCCTCGGCCTACAACAGCAGTGCTGGGGCCTCATTTCTTCATATTCTACATATGAGAGCCTGAATGCAACATGACAACCTGTATTCTATCATGCAGACATGAAAGGGATTTTTTTAAATGTTAAATGATGTCATATCCTTTTTTCCCAAATTTTTTTAGTTTTTGTGCATTTCATATAGTAGACCTTAATCAAATTTAGACTCCCTCCTCTCTTCCACTCCGCCCACAATTTCAGGTGTTCTGTCTCATATGTTAAGTTTTATCTGGTGAAGCATTTGTACCCAGGTGTCCCTCGCTGCAAGTTCATCCCCTGGAGTCTAGTCAGCATAGCTAGAGTCACTCCCTTAAAGATCTATTCTCCCTCACCCCACAGTAATCATTTGCCAATAGTTCCTTAGCTAGGGTTGGGGCCTGTTGCCCATTTTCCCTGTTCTATGCTGGGTTTTTATCTGAGGGGGCAGAAAGATTATAAGAGCCAAGGTTGGTGTATGAACATAAGGAAACAGAGGCTTTCAGGCCTCAGGGAACTTGCTTCAACTGGCAACAATGTTGGCAGCATGCACAAGACCCATGCCTGTTCAATCAGACAGATCCCTATTTCTGCAATTACAGTACCTTTATATGAAATCTTATTTATGTTAATGTGTAATCAATATTACTATACTTTATAAACTTCTTTTGTTTTCTAACACATTCATAAATCTATGTAACCCAAATAAAGAAAAGAATTTTTGGAATCCTCAATAATTTTTCAAACTATAAAGAGGGCCTGAGGCTGGAGAGATGGCTCATGGGTTAAGGGCATGTACTGCTCGTGCAGAGGATCTAGTTTGGTGTCCAGCACCTAGTTCTGGAAGTCTACAACCATCTGTACAGCTTCGAGGATGACACCCTCTTATGAACTCTGTGGACATCTGCACTCATGTGCACCCCTCCCACATATATACATAATTTGAAATAAATCTTTAAAAAAAATTAAAGAGTTCCTGAAACCTAGATGTTTGAGAACCACTGTTTAATATAAGTAATTTTACAGCCTTTCCCCAACAAACTTGAGTCCTGAAAATTAAGAACAGCATACTATTTAACTACTTTGCATAATGTTATAGATATATTTAAGGTTCTCTATCCAGTAACATTTTATCTGAAAATTGAAGTCTAACAAATGTATGAAAAAATAAAATTCTAACTTTAAGAATGGATGCACTTTATCATTTAACTAAGAGTATTATTTTTGTGATAGAGTATATATTAATAAAGGTCAAAATCACCCACAGATAAAATTGTTCTAGTACTTTCTAATTATTTCTAGTGGAAAAAGTACAGTTTATATTTGGTTCATTGATTCTACCAATAGCAAGATCTCTGAAAATTACCTATATGTGAATTACACTGTTTAGTTAGCTAACAATGAATTATAGTAAAAAAGCTTGTCAAAGTTGATTATTTTAGGGAATGTTTCTCTAAGAAATCCTCACTCATGAAAAACATATGCATGTTGACAGAATAATAGAAAATTCAGCAAAAGATCTCTCACCACATCACGAGGGGAGAGAACTTCCAGATGCTCATTCATTACTAGGGGAATGCACAGCTTCCAACCACATTTCAAGTAACACAGCACTTGGGTCCAGCATTCTTACATCAATCTTTCTCCTTTCCTGTTCAGCACTGGGAAGTTATGAAACTGTGCCAGCTGCACAGCTGAAATGGAAACACAAACAGCTGCCATCAGTGTGCTAAAGACACCACAGAATGCGCTATCCATTTCCCTGATGGTCACCCACATGCCATCAATACTGAACAAGTGTATTAATAGTGCTAGGGGAACAAATGAACAGCTTCTGCCTACAGAGATGCTGGAGGGTGACTGGATGGTTCAAAGATCATAGAAACCTGCAGGAGCAGGTGTCTCCAAAATCATACCAGGTAGGAATTTAGCAACATTTCTGTGTTTTCCTCCTTGAAACACTGGCAAATACAGTCATCTTAGATAAAAACTTAGATGACAGATTATTGTCACCATGAAAGCCAATGACAATTTGTTCTGAGATTATAAATATCTGCAAGTAAGAAAAATGGTAAACAACAAAAAAAAATCTTAAGCCTTAAAATGTAAACACTGATGTTAGAATGATAGTGAAATACAGGAGGTTTGGAATTATAAGTGCAAAGCTTTACATGTTAATTTACAAACTAGACACACAAAACTTGAACTCATTTTCTTATATGAAGCTGTTGCCACAGAAGTAGCTGGGTTCCCAGGCTAACTTTAAATGTATACAGTCTTGTCCTGGAAATACTGCACCTTTGCAAGTAATTTCAGCAGAATGTACTATTTCAGGATCTAACCAGTAGGCAAAGCACTAACATAAGATGTAATAACATAACATATTAGGAAGTCTGCCATTTGACAAACATCTTTAAAAACCAGAGGTTTTTAGATCTAGTCTAAAAACAGTAATTTAGGGCCTCAGGAAAACCTGAGGCAGCTAAACAAGAATTAGAAAGATGTTAGAATCTGGGAGGATTAAATGAGCTCTATATTAATGAAAACAGAGAAAACAGAAACAAATTCCCCTGAGCTAGACAGTACAGGTCTGAGAGTTTCTGTATTAAGTCATACAGTTGGCCCAGGATAACCTGGCTAGTGGATGGCAAGTGCCTCTGGGGTTCCAAGCGACAGGCAACAAGCCAAGCTCTACTTGTATGTGCAAGTGTAGAAGTCAGCTTGCTTTCAACTTGCTTGGCCTCTCCGAATACGTACTTACTAATATATAAAAACAAGATGAAGCATTTCACTGAACTATGGCTAAAAGTAAACATGATAGTGAGATAAAATGCAAGCACTTTTGGGACAAAGTTATCAAGTATTTTATTACCTGCCACAGCAAATAAGTCACAGTTAGTACTGGGAACCCCACTCTGCTCAGACAGACATGGGAAACTGGCAGTTACTCTATTTGGTCACAAGAAATAGTTATTAGGGAAACGATTTTTTTGTTGTTGTTAAAACTAAGCTCCAAATACAGATCCTCCAGAAAGCTTCCCTTGGACCTTCTCTGAACTGCCACCCAGACCCACTTACCAGGTGGTGCTCACCACTGTGGCTAGAAGTTCCTCCTAACCTTATGTTAGTAGTCATCTGTATACTCCGGGTATACAGCAATGCCTGGTGCAGAGTATGCTGCCTACTCAATCACTGCACAGCTGGGTTGACCTCTTAGGTAGGGGGGCAGTTATGACATAACTCCACATGGACAATCATAAACTCATATAGTGAGATAAGATAGTACTTTAGTGAAAAATGGGTCATTAGTGTTACATACACATACAAACACTAATTCATGCCAAATGACAGGAAGGACCCATAGAAACCAAACATCAAACTTGACGGCCAATATGCAACTCAGCTACTACTGCATAGTAAAGATATGATAGAGCTGCGCGGTGATCTTTATTTTTGGTTACAATATCTTGGCCAAGAAATACCCCTTAATGCATTCTCGCTTAAGATGACTGAAGACAAAAGTCTATCCCTTGGCAAAGTGTCTTGGATTGCGGTGAACGCGATCCTGTTTTCCTTAACCCCCTAGAACTTCCTGCTTTGTGTACCTGGGTTGTGCACCTGTCAGAAAGGACTGAAGCGCGGTCCCTCAGATTCGCCATGAGGTTTGCTGGGTTACTTTCCCTGGAGCTGGAGGTGGCAGAGGAAGGGAAGCACGCGGGGGGGGGGGGGGGGCCCGCGGTGGGGGGGGGGGGGGGCCCTCTGGTCTCTGCACCTGTGGGCTGGGACTGGAGTCGAATGGCGACGCAGGGATGCATTGGGGACAAGTCCGGGGGCCGAGGATCAAGTCCCGGGCAAAGTGGGAGAGCCCCAGGAGCAGGTCGGGTCTGAGGGCAGGTGTAGGAGCCCAGGGAGCTGGTCTGGGAGTCCGGCGGGGAGCCTGGGGCGCAGGTCTGGGGGTAGGTGGGGAAGCCTGGGGAAACCCGGGAACAGGTCGGGTCCGGGGGCGGGGGTCATGTGGGAAAGCCTGGGGAGCAGGTCTGGGAGTCCTGCGGGGAGTCCCGGGCGCAGGTACGAGAGCAGGTGGGAAAGCCTGGGGAGCTCAGGGAGCAGGTAGGGTCGGGGGTCGGGTGGGGAAGCCCGGGGCGCAGGTCTGGAAGCCCCCCGCTCAGCTCCCGCTTCCTCCGCACTTACTCAGGATCGCGGGCAGGCTGCGCAGTCGGCCGCGGGCACCAAGGCGGGCTCCGCGCAGCAGCGAGGCCCCGCGTCGTCCCCGCCGCTCCTCATCGTCCCCCTCCGGCCTGGCAGCCCCTGCCGTCGCCAATTAGCCCGAAGCTTGTCCGCCGCGGTTCACCCAGGCTGTACTTCCGGCCCCCGCGCGGGTGTCGCCGGTAAAATCCCCCGCCAGTCCCTACATAACCAGTTCTCGGTCTTCCTGCCCGGAGTGGAAAGCCAGCCCGCCCCTCCGGGCATGCGTAGAAACCGGGTCAAGGACTCGGGCGATGGTAGCCGGGATGGGACATGATATCGCCCGCGGAGGTGCAGCCGGGCTGCGAGTTCCAGTTCAGTCCTATCCCTTCGGCCTCAGCTTCGTGGCCAGGCCCAGTGAATCTTCCACACTGTATTTACCCGAGAAACTCTAGCGCTCGGACAGCGATGAGGAGATAAAACCCAGAGCCCCGCTTTCTTCTAACCTACACCGCAGTGGACTATTCAGAGCAGATGTGGGCCTGACGCTTACACTATTTTCAGGTCCCTTTTAAAGAAAAAGAATGCGGAACTTTTAAGTCTCTCAGAGTTTGAACTGCACTTTGAAAATGTGGTGGAACATGTTAGAGGACACTCAGGTTCATGGTCTACCCTTTTATAACAAACTGAACTGAGAAGTTACTTTAGGGGGTCTGCTTCCTCTCCTGTTTGGTTAGTCCCTATTCTGAGCTGCTTTTACACAGTTTCACAGGTTTCCTTTGCCTGTTGGTTCGTGGTTACTTTTAACAAATCTATCCTGCTACCTGAGAGTTCCAGGTCAGAGCTGGGCTCTTGGCTCATAGCTTCCTATTATTATTGCCTAATAAATGCCAAATGCTAAAGTCACCATTATATAAACTAATAATTATAGAACTCTAAAGCTTCTTTAGTGGAAAAAAAAAAAAGAGCCTTGGTTCCACTTGAACCATGCAGCTCATGGTTCATAACACAGGGCATTGAATCAATTTCAAGGTTTCGTAACCTTCTTAATTCGCATGGGTCTCTTATCAGCAACACAGAGTTCCGCCTTATCTTACACTGTAGAGGCTCAGTGGATGTTGAGTAATGCACAACTGTGCAAGTGCTGTCTCACAGGACCAGCAAGTGGAGCTTCCTAATGACATTGCTGCTGCTGCTCCTGCAAAGTAAGTTCATTTGTTCATTTGAATAGTGGGGCTGAGGAAATGGTCACAAACGGTACCATGTGATTTTACATCTCAGATGATTTCAGATAAATATCGGGGAACTTTAGGTGAATTAAATGTAGAAGATAATTAAATAAAATGGCTGTGGGTGACAAGCAGCCCTAGGAACCTAGCCTCCGCTTTAAACTACCTCTCTGAACCGTCAGTGTTGAAAGATTTTTTTGTACACTGGACAAAGCCTAAAAGCATTTAACACTCTTAAGGTTTCATCTGAGCCCAGTACAGCAAGTCTCACTTTCATTTTAAAGCAACATTTTATGGCAAAGGAAAATAATTGTAAAAATTGTTCTCGCTCTTTATTCATAATTTCTGAATTCTCATGGGGAAGAGGGCAGATCATAGCCACATTTCAGTGGAAGGCAAGAGTTTCTGGGTTATAAATAACGGGGTTATATTCTCATTTCTTTAATACCTAGTACACTTGAACCTTAGTACATATTCAATGAAACTTTACCAAATAACGTTATTTCAAATAATTGGATGCATAGTAAAAGAATCAGTAGAATCAGTAGACCATGCAAGTATACTTCTTTAATTACGCATTATTATGAGTTATGTATTATTTTTATATTGACACAAGAACTCAACAGTGCAAACGTCATGAAGGACAAAGGACCTAAGATAATTTTGCAAAAGCCTATCTTTGTAGCCCCCCGTCTCCCCGTGAAATATGCTTTGGGAAGGAGGATGCCCTGTTCTTTCCAGGTTTAACCACCAAACAAGGAAATGAGAGTGGTTAGGTCTCTTTGAAGTTCAGAACTCTGAGAGGTTGTCACTGTCACTCGCTGAGGCGCCGGGATCCTGACAGCAAGCAAGCGCTCTACGGCGGAGTCTGGAAAACGGCCGGACGCACCTGCTAGAGATCATGGCAGGGAGGAATGGTAGCCAGACTTAGCCCGCAAGGCCCTACTGCGCAGGCGCACCCGGAGCCACAACGCCCTGCCCACCTGAGCATCTTTGCAACTCTGCAAGCGGCTCCAGAGGGCAGTTGCGCCCAAGTCTCTACTGCGCCTGCGCAGTCAACAGCTGGCGGAACCGGCTTCTTGCGGCGTCAGCTTCCGGTTTGACAAAGGTTTGGCAGTCAGAAGGGAGGTGAAACTGAGCGAGGCTCGCGAGTGAGCACTGGAGGCGGGGCTTGGCTGGAGGGAACCGGCTTTTCAGTGGGGGCTGAAGCAGAGCCGAGGGGTGATCCGGGTCCTGTCGAGACACAGGGCTCCTGTGACTTTCAGGTGCGTGGACTGCGGGTGTTCCCTAGGCCCGGCCAAAGGTACAAGCTCAACTTGGTGCAAGTTTTGCTGAGCACCTGCTGAGATCCGGAGGGCGCCGGTTGCATGGGCCTGGGAGAGGAGGAGTGGCAGGCATGCCAGCCTTAACCATACTTTGTATGCTGTCTCATGGCCTCAGGATCCCTAGGCATCCCTCGCGCCGCGCATCCTTTTCACAGATACCCTTCTGCACTAAGGGCGGTGGAAGGTGCTGGCTGAAAGGCGGGGAAATAGCTTGTCAAGGGTTAATAGAAAGAAATTTCGCTTGCTCTGTCAACTTTCATCCAATAAAATAGGGCTTTCGTGTTCGCTATGTCCAATATGCTGGCTTGTTTGGTTGTGGCCCTGGCAGCCACAGGATGGAAGAATTCATAATTGAGTACCGATTGCGTGCATTCGTTCTCTGGAAAGTTGTACTTTACCAGCGTGGAAAGGCGAAGCAGCCTTCCCCACACTCCACTTTTGTGCTTAGAGTTTTGCACCATTAGATTTTAATTGTTTGTACTGACAGAAGCATTAAAGTAACAAAAGTTTCAAGGATTTACCAATGCCATGTACTTTATTAAGCACCCTGGTTAATATTTCTGATTCATTTACCAAGGCTTATATTAATTGTACCACATAGATATTAAATGTTAAGAGTCTACATTTGAACTTCAGCACCAGAACCCTAGTAACAACCTTTTTTTTCTTACTGCAAATGGAAAGCATTAACTCAAAACCTCAGAATGCAAAAAAATTAAATTGGAGAGATGTAAAAATCAATGGGAATTCTAAAAAAAATGTTATGTCTTTTATAGTAACCTGAAATCCTAGTTATTTTAAGATAACATGTGTATTCACACCATTGCCTGAATTTCTCATTCTTATAAAGCCTTCTGAGTCTTTTCCCTGAGATTTATTGAAGGAAATGTTGAGAACATATAGAATGTACAGTTAGACCTACAGAAAATTTATACCAATACTTGAACTTTCAAAAAAATATTTCTTAATATACTTCATTTTGCATGCATTGTACACAAATTATAACTAGCATTGTGCACCATATATGCCACCATATGTGCTCCTTGGAACCAGGTGATGCAGTCAGTTATGCAAACCAGATCCAGCAAGAGGAAGCACTTAACCAAACTTGACAGAAGTCTCAAGGTAAAGTCCCTGGTGGGCTTATCTCTTGATCAGACCCAGTGGGTTAGTTGAGTTTCCTTTGTAGAAAGTTATACAAGAAGTTGTTTTTCTGTGACCTGCTAAACACTTGCTTGAATCATTACCAATGCAGACAGAGTGTTCCTGCTTCGCCAGCCCATTGGCCTTTCCTGGTGTGCTTTCCCACAAATTGCATGTAGGCATTTAGTCATTCATTCAGCAAAGAAATCTGCACTGTATTCACCACTGATAGCACAAATTACAACCTGACTTCTGACCTCTCCCGACTTTGTATGTGAGACTCTGTGGGGCAAGGAAACTAGAGCATGGAGAATCTCAGAGTTTCTGCATGAAATAGCTCTCCTTACTTCTGGAACATGCTGCTGTATTAAGGAGTATCTGAAATCACAAGATAAAGTGTGATTTAGATTCCCAGAACATACATTTTGCTTGAAATCTTTCTGGAAAATTAATTTGCCTTAATAGTACATAGTTTATGCCACATTAAAATAACTGATGTTTACAGATTCCAATAGAACTAACAGTAATTTTTAAAACTTCAATGAAGTTTCAGACCTGTGGTAACTACTTTAAGGAATATTGTAGACCCTACTCCATTGTTTCTTTGATTTTAGATGTCTTTGATGAAACAGTACAATCATGGCATTTTGTTTTAATTTTATTTTTGATAAAGCACTTAGAATGTTATTATAATTAGTTCTCTCCTGCTCTTTACAGAACATACAGTCTCTTAAAGCAGAGACACTACCTTTACCTTAGCACAGCAACTGGCTCATATGTAGTCACTGAACATGTCAGAGTGACTGACACAAAAATATATACAAACGAATATAATAGTGAATTTATATTTCTGTAACTATGGTAAAATAGGCAAATTTAGGCTATGATAGGGAAAATATTTTGAGTTGGGTTTTGAATGCCAAAGGGACTTGGCATACTGGAGATGAAGTGAAAGTCAGTATAAACAGAAGTATTGTCGGCTGGAGGAGAGGACACCTGTTGCTTGTTTTTCTGAATGGTACCAAGATTTGGATTTCAAAATGCCTAAGAACTCAGCTTTCAGGCCAGTGAGCAACTGCTTTGTTCTAAATGTTTTTGCTGTATCATCATCCGAGGGAGAAGAAACATATAGAAGCCCAGAAATAGCGTATGTCGCAGCTGATTTTTGCTTATATTTTTAGCAATAATCTCTTATAGTGTGTGCTAAATAATTAGGAGGTAGAATAATAACCCACTGCATGTTAGCATTTAAATGAGATAAACTATTTTTCAAGATTGCAATTATATGTAGAGCCATCTTTTATAAGACTGCTCTATTTTCCTTGAATAAGCATTAATAAAATTTATTATAGTCCAGATTATATCTGTAAGTTCCCTATTTCAAATATTTAATGGGAATCTATCTGAATTTTGTTTAATTCTTACAGTCACTCTCTTTTTGCTTTATTAGTTAAAACCAGAGGATTCACCGTTGCTGCTATGGCTGCCTCACAAATTCCACAAACTGTTGCATCCCATGTCCCCTTTGCAGATTTATGTTCAACTTTAGAACGAATACAGAAAAGCAAAGACCGTGCAGAAAAAATCAAGCACTTTAAGGAATTTTTAGATTCTTGGAGGAAATTTCATGACGCCCTTCATAAGAACAAAAAGAATGTTACGGATTCTTTTTACCCAGCAATGAGGCTTATTCTTCCTCAGTTAGAGAGAGAGAGAATGGCTTATGGAATCAAAGAAACTATGCTCGCTAAGCTGTATATTGAATTGCTCAATTTACCAAGAGAAGGGAAAGATGCCCTGAAGCTCCTGAATTACAGAACACCGACTGGAATGCACACAGATGCCGGAGACTTTGCCGTTATTGCTTACTTTGTGCTAAAGCCAAGATGCTTACAGAAAGGAAGCTTGACCATCCAGCAGGTGAATGAACTTTTAGACTCAGTTGCCAGCAATAACTCTGCCAAAAGAAAAGATCTAGTAAAGAAGAGCCTTCTTCAACTAATAACTCAGAGTTCAGCCCTTGAGCAGAAGTGGCTGATACGCATGATTATAAAGGACTTAAAGCTTGGTGTCAGTCAGCAAACTATATTTTCCATTTTTCATAATGATGCTGCTGAGTTGCACAATGTTACCACAGATCTAGAAAAGGTCTGTAGGCAGCTGCATGATCCCTCTGTAGGACTCAGTGACATCTCTATCACTTTATTTTCTGCCTTTAAACCAATGTTAGCTGCAGTTGCAGATATTGAGCGTGTGGAGAAGGACATGAAACACCAGAGTTTCTACATTGAAACCAAGCTGGACGGTGAGCGGATGCAGATGCACAAAGATGGGGAAGTGTATCAGTACTTCTCCCGAAATGGATATAACTACACTGATCAGTTTGGAGCTTCTCCACAGGAAGGCTCCCTTACCCCATTCATTCATAACACATTCAGAAAAGATGTGCGGGTCTGCATCCTTGATGGGGAGATGATGGCCTATAACCCAAACACACAGACTTTCATGCAAAAGGGGATTAAGTTTGACATTAAGAGAATGGTGGAAGATTCTGAGCTGCAGACTTGTTACTGTGTTTTTGATGTGTTGATGGTGAATAATAAGAAGCTAGGACGGGAGACCCTTAGAAAGAGGCATGAGATCCTGAGTTCCACCTTTACACCCATACAAGGGAGGATAGAAATAGTACAGAAAACACAAGCACATACAAAGAATGAAGTAGTCGATGCCTTAAATGAAGCAATAGATAAGCGAGAAGAGGGAATCATGGTTAAACATCCTCTGTCCATTTACAAGCCGGACAAAAGGGGTGAAGGCTGGTTAAAAATTAAACCAGAGTATGTCAACGGACTAATGGATGAATTGGATATCTTAATCGTAGGGGGTTATTGGGGTAAAGGCTTACGGGGTGGCATGATGTCACACTTTTTGTGTGCGGTAGCGGAGAAGCCCCCTCCTGGGGAGAGGCCATCTGTATTTCACACTCTGTGCCGTGTTGGGTCAGGATACACCATGAAAGAACTGTATGATCTGGGTTTGAAATTGGCCAAACACTGGAAGCCTTTTCATAAAAAATCTCCACCAAGTAGCATTTTATGTGGAACAGAAAAGCCAGAAGTGTACATAGAGCCTTGCAACTCTGTCATCGTGCAGGTGAAGGCAGCAGAGGTTGTCCCCAGTGAAATGTACAAGACTGGCTCCACACTGCGATTCCCACGCATCGAGAAGATCAGAGATGACAAGGAGTGGCATGAGTGCATGACCCTGGGAGACCTGGAACAGCTGAGGGGGAGAGCATCCGGGAAGCTTGCGTCCAAGCACCTGCTCGTAGGTGCTGATGATGAACCTCGAGAGAAAAGGCGGAAAGCTGCCCCCAGAACAAAGAAAATAATTGGAATTATTGACCACTTAAGAGCGCCTGACCTTTCCAACATAAGCAAAGTTTCCAGTGTATTTGAAGATGTAGAGTTTTGTGTTATGAGTGGAATGGCTGGTCATCCAAAGCCTGACCTGGAGAATCGGATTGCAGAATTGGGTGGGTACATAGTGCAAAATCCAGGCCCAGACACATACTGTGTAATTGCAGGGTCTGAGAACATCAGAGTGAGAAACATTATTTCTAGAGATAAGCATGATGTCGTGAAGCCCGAATGGCTCTTAGAGTGTTTTAGAACTAAAACCTGTGTGCCATGGCAGCCTCGCTTTATGATTCACATGTGCCCATCAACCAAACAACATTTTGCCCATGAATATGATTGTTACGGTGATAGCTATTTTGTTGATACAGATTTGGACCAACTGAAAGAAGTATTTTCAGGAATGAAGAGCCCTAGTGAACATACCGCTGAAGACTTGGCCTCCGTGATTGCTGATTTAGAATACCGTTATTCATGGGATCACGCTCCTCTCAACATGTTCCGACGCTGCACCATTTATTTGGACTTGTATGCTGTTATTAATGACTCAAGTTCCAAAATTGAGGCCACAAGATTAGCTGTGACAGCCCTGGAGCTCCGGTTTCACGGAGCAAATGTAGTTTCCTGCTTATCTGAGGGAGTGTCTCATGTTATTGTTGGGGAAGATCAGAGACATGTTACAGATTTTAAAGCTTTTAGAAGGACTCTTAAGAAAAAGTTTAAAATCCTACAAGAACATTGGGTAACTGATTCAATAGACAAGTGTGAATTACAGGAAGAAAACCAATATTTGCTTTAAAGCTGGCTAGTTCAGGGAAGCATTACATTGGCAGACTCTAGAGCAGGCAATAATGATAAATTATTAAGTGACATTTCTATCTGTTAAAAAACTTCTAAAATATTAATAGGTATAGCAAAACACTAAGGTGAAAATTAATGACCTAAAGCCAAGGAAAATGTTCTTAATGTGACTTATAACCATGATATATAACAATTTGAAGAGATGTTTGTACAATATCCATATTGTACAATATGAAGCTAGAATTTTGAGTACATTTAGAAACTTTTAGAATCATTACAGACATTGACTTTCTAAACAAGATATTCCAGAGTCAAAAATTATGGTGGTTTTTAGCCAATAAAGAGGATTGCATGAACAAAAGTCAGAATTGTTAAATTAAGCCTATAAAAATACATCTTTTTACTTGGAAGCTCAAATGCCTCCTTTAAATATAACATACTTTCATAAACAGTTATTTTTATGGTTATGGTCAAGAGCATTAATAAGTTGTCCAAGATATTTTTAGTTAAGTTAGAGGAAGTTGAGTGAGAATCATCTAAATACTTGGGATATCATTGGTTTGATTTTAAAAATAATCTTGTAGCTGGGCATGATGATACACAGGCCTTTAATCCCAGGAGGCAGAAGCAGGCAGATCTCTGAGTGATTCAGGCCAGACTGGTCTACATACTGAATTCCAGACCAGCTGGGGCTACTGGAAGACTCTGTCTCAACAAACCGAAATAACAGTAGTAATAATAACAACAATGACCTTGGAATTTTAAATTAGTTTGGATTTATTTTTTTTCTAAAATAGGCATTTTGCAAATAAGAACTTTGTGTGACTTTGCACTCCAAACATAATAGTATTCACAGAGTTCTTTTCCCATTGAATGGATGTCAAAGAGACATACGTTGCTTTGATTTTTAAAAGACAGCTTTTGTAATCAGGCTGAAGTCAAAAGTATAATGTTTATATCATATCTGGACTTCTGAGTTCTGTACCAAGTTTGAAGTACAGCCTATTTTCAGACTGTGCTTCATGACAACATTGAAATGCTGGTACCCAAGCTATGCATGTTGATCATTTGAAGCAATTGGGCTTTTTAAAAATAATAGATGAAATGTATATGGTTGCATATGGTATATGGTTGTTACACTTAATTTAAATAAAATTACTAAATATTTATTAATAAAATAATTTCGCTTTTAAAACACTTCATCATATTTATTTCAGTCAGGTTTTAGGATGTCAATATACTTCCTGTTGTTGTTTTCCTGACACTGGGTCTCACCTGGGAGTCCAGGCTGGCTTTGAGATTAACCGCAATCCTGCCTTAAGCTCCCAAGTACTGAAATTATAGGTGTGATCCCTTGCTCTTGGCTCAGTTCACTTTTAAACTAGCTTTAGTCATGGTCCCTTGGGGGCCTTCAGGATTCATATCGCCAAAAACACTTTAATGAAAATGTTCAGTTTTCACATTTTTGTGATTATAGAGAAAAATTCCAAAATACAAGTAGAGTGGGGAAGTTCATAGCTTTACCTACTGCTTTACTACTAAAGATGATATTTAGGATATCCATGGTAAGGGAAGTATAAAACCCTTATTTGGGGTAACAATCACACTACTAAGTATGTTTTGTTTTCTCAGTAAGTTGTGAGAATATTTACAGGTGACTCAAGTGTACCTCATCATTTTTCATGACAGCACAGTATTCCGTTGAATATAAGGAGATGTGCTTTGTGCTATTCAGCATTTAAGTAGGCTCACTATACTCCATCTTTTTTCTTTTCCCGTCAAGTAGTGTGATCAATCTCTTACACAGTTGTGTCCATTAGTACTACTGATTTCTTAGGTTACTTTCCTCAAGTGGAAATTCTGGTTCCAAGGTACACATTTTTTTTTCCAGTGCCTTGATAGTGTTTTAAAATCCCAGCAAAAATGTCTTTCTTGATTCTTCTCTTCCAAATCTCAGTATCTGTCAGTTCAGTTGCTCATTGCCAGACCTATTCTGTTTTTATTCACTCGGTATATATTTTGTCCACTGACTGTAAATATGACAACTCCCATGTTTCTTTAGTTTCAACTTACTATACAACTCCACGTGAAGTCTAGTAGGCAGGCCTGTTGTGATGGTTAATACTGATTGTTAACTTGACAGGCTCTAGAGTCACCAGTGAGGCAACTCTAGGCATAACTGTGAGGGATCATCTAGATCGGGTTAACCCCTAGGCACATCTGTGAGGGATCATCTAGATCAGGTTAGCCCCTAGGCACACCTGTGAGGGATCACCTAGATTGGGTTAGCCTCTAGACACACCCTAGGGGTCATCTACATTAGATTACTTGAGGTCAGGAGAACCACCCTAAACCTGGCTGAATTTTAAGCAGCAGCCCAAATACAGGGAAGTCCAAGGAAGAGCGTTTGCTTTTTGCCTGCTTGCCTTTGCTTCTTGCTGGAGTGTTGCAGCTTTTCTGCTTCTGCTGCTGCTGATGTCACCATCTTTTGCTAACATCCAACTCAGTTTCTATGGCTTCCAATGTAGAAGGAAAACTGCGTCTCCAGAAATCCTCCAGGCTTTGTTTCCAGACTGAGACTTCTGAGGCACCCAACCTGGGGACTGAGCAGTTACGTGGTTTTCTGCCTCTCAGGCGTTTCTGTATTGAACTACACAGAAAGTTTTACGCAAGCCAATCTAAAGAATTCTTTGTATATGTGTGTGTTCATTTTAACAGCTTTGTTCCTTTAGAGAACCCTGACTAATATACCACTTAGTATTAATGTTTGTAACTTTTATTAAATAAAAAATAAAGTGCAGGAAAATACAACTACACACATGCCGGCATCCTGTTCCAACAGTTACCAAAGGCAGCCTTTCATATTCACACACCTCCAGATGTTTTGAAAGTAATTCTAGATCGCACACCGTCACTGCTTCATAGTGGAACTACTCTCTGCGGTGTTCTGTAGCTTTCCCTGTCCCTGCTGAGTAGTATGGCTGCTCACCCATGTGCTCCAGCTGAAAATCAGAGCTGTCCTTGATAATCCACCTGTTGTATCTGCAATGGTTAACAGGTCTCAATAGGGACAGAGAATCTGCGGTGTGAGCGTCACCACTCAGGCCAACAACAGACTGCTCGATGCTCTTCTTGAGGTGGTCCTTTAAATGGCCCTTTTAGCTGGCCTTCTTCCTTGAATTCTTACTCAGCTGTGTTCCATTCTACAGAATGGTTTTTACTTTTAAACATGCAAGTGAGATTTTATCACTGTCCTAGTTATTAAATAGACACTCTCAACTGCTGTCACTTGTAACAACTGGTCTTTAACATGGCCTGATGCCCTACATCCCTAGTGTTAGTTAGCTCTCTGGCTTCCTTAACCCCTGGCTTCCCACACCTAAGCCACACTGGCTGCTTGTTTTCCCTTTCCCCCGATTCAGGTCTCTCTCCCTGTTTGTTCTGCTCCAACCCCCACCACTTAGAATCTCTTTACTCTGCCTTATGTTTTTTTTCCAAGGCACTGTCGTCCCTGCCTCCTTATTTCCTACACCAGAATAGAAACTCCAAGAATGAACACAGCTGGCTTGTTGATCATTATAGTCTGTCGTGGCTATTTCTGGAATAAATATGCTGAAACAGACTGGAAAACCGTACCTTGCTCTCATTCGCCAAGGTCATGGTTTCTCACCAGATGAATTTACTAGGAAATCCACCTTTTTCTGTAATCCTAATGACCTAGAAGTGTCTTGGAAGAGTTCATCCTTTGAGGCTAAGTGTGCTTTCTTCGGAAAGGGTCTACATGGCTACATCACACATGTCCTTTGCCTAGAATCTCAGAGTGCAGAGCTGTCCTGGACCCTGGGACTTTCTACTTGGGGGTAAACAGTTTAAAATGTCTACAGTAGAATCCTTTCACTAGTAGAGCTCTTCTATAAGCAAAACCTACAATTCATTTTCAACTAGTGTGAGATATTCTTAACTGTCATGATGACCTGGGTAAAAAGATGAATGACACAGTTCGTAAGTACTGAGTGACAGAATAATTACAGTAAGTGAAAGAACTGGCCTGGAAAGGCCTACAGCATGCGGAAAGAGTGCAGGGTCTATGATGTGGGGATCCCAGGTTCAAGCCAAGTTCTGCCACCAACTTTATTATTTTGAGCAACCATGAGGTCCTTGAACCTCAGTTTCTGAATTTTTTTCTTAATTTTCAAATAAAAGTGATGACATCATTTTACCAGAATTCAGGCAGTATTTTAGCAGCAAGCATATTGTAATTTCTCTCCCGTGTTTCTCTGCTTCTCATGCCCAGGTCCTTCCCTAATTAACCCCAACTGAGTAGATTTGGGAAGAATTTCAACACTGTAGTGGAATGTAAGGCTCTTCCTAGAAGGAAGGGTATATATAAAGTCATGGGGATAAAATCTGTGCATGAAAATATTTGCAAAATCATATTCAGATGTGTGGAAGAGATGCAGTTAGGGTAGATTTTAAAAGATGGTGGGCACCACTGCAGGTCAGGTGGTAGGGACAAAGCTGGGACTGCCTGGGATTCGCATCCACTTATGCCAGCGCTCACCGGGCAGCCAGGGTGTGATTGAGAAACGCTACATGGACCTGAAGGAGGCACACCTCGGCCTGCCCATTCTAATCCGAGAATGTTCAGAGGTGCAGTCCAAGCTCTGGGCCCGCTATGCCTTTGGTCAAGAGGAGAATGTTTCTTTGAACAACTTGAGTGCTGATTGGGTAACCAGAGCTTTGGAGAATATGCTAAATGGCAAAGCCTGAAGTCTCTCCATTGAGGATTATAAGCAATACTCCCAGAATCTGGGCTCACCTGGACTGAATACAGTGTAGAAAAGTATGTTCCTCTGTTCCTTATAAAGCTTACGCAGGACAATGATGCCTCAGGATGTTCTTGTCCTTACTACCCTCTGCCTCTTACACAACCACCCAGGCAAAACAGTTTAATATGAAAATAAAGTTTTATTTCTCATCAAAATAAAAAGGTCTTAAATTCCACAGTACAAATTATAGATTGCATTAGTTGCTTGAAATAACTATATATTTTATTTATTTATTTATTAGATTATGGAAGCATTACTGACATACAAAAGGCCACTCAAGTTTGATGCTTTGGTTGAGTTTAGAGATAGGATTAATCTGTGAGATGAAGGCCCTAAGCTTACTTCCCTTGAAAGGATCCTTTGTTCTTTACTGATTGGCTGGGCTCCCCATGCCTTTTATTCAGTCATTAGTACATCTTGAGTACCAGGCCTGGGACTAGTTCCAGGTGAAAGGGCAGCTGTCACAATGGTTCTAAGTCTGTGGTGGTGGTTTGAATGAGTGTATCCAAGTATTTGGACACTTGGTCCCCAGTTCCTGGTACTGTTTGGAGAGGATCATGGAACCTTTAGATGGAGGAAACACATCACTGGGGAAGGGCTTTGAGAGCTCTTAAGCCTCACTATATTTCCAGTTTTTTCTCTCTGCTTCCGATCTGCTTGAAGATGTGAACGCCCAGGTTTCCGCTCTGGCCATCTCTGCTGCCATGCCTCCTCATCACGATGAACTGTCCCTCTGGAACAGTAAGCCAAGTAAACTTTTTTTCCTATAAGTTGCCTTTCTATAAGTTGCCAACAGAAAAGTAACTAATACCAAGTCACTACATGAGATTTGCTGAGGGGAAGGAGCCCACTGCTGCTTTCCAGGACAGGACTAGTGAAGATGAACCGCTGGGTCAGAAGGGAAAAGCGACAGAAAGAGGCAACACAGATGGAAAGGCAGTAGAACGTCAGAGGAAAGTGGGGGAGGGCAGAGAATGTCAAGGCCACAAACAAATGTACCTGTGTGAGAGTTTTATTAACGCAATGGAAATATCACTTCTGTGAAGTTAAAGCATTTAATTCTAGTGTTTTTTATTCTGAATTGTTACGGAAACCCAACTCAACCTAAAAATGAATATGTAAAAGTTACTTTGGCTAAGAATATAGTAATATTAATCCAAGAGTTTAGCAGAAAAGCATTTCCATGTGAAGTCAACTCATACAAGAATGACATGACCCTAAAAACAAGTTGAAATTCTACCCTGTGGGCCTGGGAGATGGCTCACTGGTTGCAAACATAAGGACCTGAGTTCAAATCTTCAGCACTCATAAAAATACTGGGTATGGTCTTGGAAGCCTGTAATTCCAGTGTT